AGAGTCAAATGTTTTAGTTTGCATCAGGGCATTACTCTGATAAAACTGTCACATCCTGGAGCAGCACAAATTGCCCAGAGTCAACACAGATGATGGCAATGGTGTAATGCTACAGATAGCTGTATGTCCATGCTCAGGCAGGTGCCTCGTCTCTCTGTCCCTATTTAGTTTACAAGTACACATCCAGCCTAAAAGCACAAGGATAAATATGATTTAGAGTACTCTACAGTATGGAAATATATGAGAATATAAAAGGAAATAGAAAGAAGATTCTGGGAACCCAACTGGTTTCAAGATGAGTTAGGTCTTTTATAAAGGGGTTTTTTTGTTAATGATTGTCATAATGGGTGATATAGGATCAGTTCTGTTCATTTCAGTATCTAATTTCTCCTTCAGGCATTGACAGAATTATCTTCACAACAATTGAAAGATCTATAATTTTGATAAATGGAGTAGTGAATACTACTAAAAACTTCTATATAGGAAATAGAAAGCTCTGAGTAATACAGGTTAAAGCCTGAAGACTCTCACACTTAATGTTTAAAACCTCCTGAGGGACCCCAGATGCACTTCTGTAATACATACAAGATGCAAGGATACTGCACAGAGCTTTTGGTCTCGCTTTGTATGGATTTGTAGTAATTCATTGAGCCAATGGAGATACAAAGCAATCAGTTATCTGAAAGGCAAAGGACCATACAAAAGCCACTGCTATTTTATATCTCCATATTTAGACAAATAAATTACTATTTTCTTTTCATTGAGAGGAAATAATATGCAATTTCAAACCTTTGAAAATAGCATCAATGTCTTCAATTAAAATTTTAAATTCATTAAGTCCTATGATTCATTTCATAGCTAAAGCTGAGCTACTTGGGGTTTAGGTGAACCTGAAACTCATAGGCAGATTAGTTGTAAACTACAGAGTTATTTCCTGATTCTGCCAGATGATCTGTCTGTAGAGATCCTGTGAAAGCTCAGCTAGAGCTGTCTCCAACGAGTTTTTAAGGAATGGAATCACAATCCTGACATGCAGGAGTTTATTAAGCACTCCTCTGATCAATGGCACTAGCCCCACGGGAAGCAGATGTGCAATCAATATAATGGGCACATCCCTCCTCACGTGCTGAGGGTAAGTGACTGCCATGTCACCTGATGGAAATGAACCATTTATATTCATGAAGATGGCAACACTCCTCTAGTAAATTCTTTGTGGAATAAGGCAGCTCCTTATTCCCAGGTGACACTGTGCTGTGTAATAAATCTGGGTTATTCCATTGGGAAGGGGGAGCCACAGCAGCATATACACGGTGAGAAAGTGTGCAGGAGAGCATCATTACAGGAGAAGGCTTCCGAAGTTCTATCCAACAAGTAAGAGTATTTCAGCACTAAATAAAAAATATTAAGGACAGAGCTCTTCACTTACAGCTCATTCCAATACTCTTCAAATTCTTCTCTGTTTTAAAGTCTGCTGCAAAGGCACTGGTCAGAGAGAAGATGAAAATAAAAAGGGCTTATGGAAAAGTGAGAATTCTGAAGGCCTGTCCTGGAAATCTTGTTTCTACTATTGTGGAAATTGGATACTTTTTCCCTTTTGAGCACAAGATTCTGGAGAAAGTTCTATATCCTGCAGACAGACATTTCACTGCAGATCTGGTAGAGTCCCTCATTTCTCAGGAAAAGAAAAAGTTCACTGATTTGGAAGATAGTCCATGTGGCTATTTCTAGCAAGGAAGCAAATGCTACCACTTTCTTTCCCTACAGGTTGACACAAGAAGGATGAATTTTCCTGATTTTCCGTCTGATACATCTCTTGTGGATTTTTCCACAGAGAGGCATTATCACAGAAATAGATCCTGGCTGAAATCCCAAAATCTCAGCTATAAAGAACTGCCTGCAGTCATAATGCAATTGCTCAGACTGAGGTTCTTAGCTTCAAATAAGAGCTTGAATTTTGAATAAGACTACTTTGTAAAAATCCTTTTTGGAATCAAAATAAGAACTGAACAGATACGAAGTAATTGGTTAAGTAGTCCTGACTGAGGCTCTGTTCCATAGATGAATTAGAACAATATAAAATTTAGTAGGCTCTTGGACTTGCTTTTTAAGGTAGATAGCATGGAAATCCTTAAGGATGAATATTTCAAAAAAACCAGATCAGCTTACACTCATAAACAACACACTGAGGGCTAGTAACTGATTCTTTTCATTACTTTCCAGTGTCAAAATTCAGGATTCCCTCTCTGCACACTAGCAATGAAATTAGTGTAAATGCATGTCCTGCCTTTTTACAGCCATCCCAAAGACTGACATATTAATCATGTTTCTTTAAAGTGTGATTGCAGCACAGGGGAAGACAGTGTTTCATGGACATTGCACACAGCCTTATGAGCATTTGTTGTACTGCATCTTTAATTCAAACAGGGAATGTTAAAGAAACCATTAAAGATGGCCTTTTTTCTTTTTTCAGGAAGAATGACCTTATATAGACACCTATATATAGGTTTAGCATAATGACATGATCTGAAGAGAATAATATGATTATAACATTAGTGACCATAATAGAAAAAGCTAATGAACCTATCAAACTTATCATTAGACAGAGAATAAAGCATGACATTGGAGTGAACCACAGACTGTATTATATCACCAGAAATTATATGGTCCTCATCATATCTGAATCAATAAAAAATGCGATTTAGTCTCCAAAAACTTTCAGACAGACATAATATATTATTCCCAAACATATAATTTCTGTTGTTTTGCTGAACATTATTCTCAGTGCCTAATATCAGTGAAACTGCAGTGAATTATTTCTGAATACGTGAGAAATACATTTTCTCCACATAAAAAAAATCCAAACTATTTCTGCTCCATTTGTTGAAAACTATTTTTAAAAATACCAGAAAATATTCTATGTTTCTATTTGAGCAGTGTATAAACCACTCCTAGTGAATGCTATGAAGAGGAAATGATACCTGCATTTATAGAAAATGTAAAGTCTGCCAACCAACATTTTGTGTACATCTCAAATTATTTATCCCACTGCAATCTTTTCTGACAACAAGGTAATTGCTTCAATAATACAAAAGCTAGAAAATAGCTTTTGCTACACAAATCTTAGTAGTACATAAAATAGAAAGCAGGATGTAACTGTTGAACAGAAAATCATATTATGAGCAATATATTTCCTTATAATGCAATTCTTTCAGTATTGAATTCGAAAGATCATTTCTCTTATTCCTGAACATTTCTTTTTTATTCTTTATTACCTAAAAAGTTCCAAACGTATTTTATACTTCTTAGTAATACTTATTTTTGGCAAACACCACTTTGTATCACATCAGAATTACTTCTTTTCTTCAAATGTAAATTTAAAAAAGATCAAAAAAGAGTAACAAACATTTAAAGTCTGACATCAAAAGGAATGAAAAATTTGTATGAGCCGTGTCAAAAGTATTTGGAGGGCAACAGTGCCAGAACAACATCTGCAGAGAAAGGAGGGTAGCTAATGAGTCAATACTGATATTGAGTATCTTACATATTAGGTGGTTTGATCACTGAGAAATATATATCATTTTATCTCAGGCTGTTCTGGAAGGAGACTCCTTTTCTGTAACCCTGTTAAACACATCCCCAAAACCCCATTTTTCAGAAAGGTCTTTGATGTGTCTCCCTATGACATAAAACCAAGACCTCTGCCTGCCCTCCAGGAACAGATCAACGCATTAGAAATGTAATGAGGAACATTAGGTCAAGGAAGAAATCACAGGTTCTGTAACTAGAGGGGAATGTGAATCTACATTTTTTTCTGAGTAAGTGAACTACACCAGAAAGATGGAGAAATACTCCATTGTGTGCTGTAAGTATATGTAGAAACCTTACCTCCAGAGCTTGTCTTTAAAAAAATTTTCAGCCATATTTAGGTAATAAAGCAAAAGACCCACAAAATTTCCTTGACTCATATCCCGATTTCATATGAGATGATTTTGGACACTCGTCTCTCCCAGCATACTGTAACAGGTGATAGAACTGTGTGGTGCTCAATAGCCTGTCCTGGCAAATATCTGGGGACATTTACTCAACTTCCCAAACACTGAAAGAAGCTGGACCTCTAAGAAGCATTCATTGATGTGAAAGTACAAGGGCAAACGTGCCTGTGACAACACTGTTGGGCAAGTGTGGTATGTGAAGCATCCTACAGCCTGAGCATCCTGGCCATGCCCCAGCATCACCAAAGGATGCCCAACCAGGCTGGAGGACAGAAAAGATCCTCTGTTCCAGATAATCAGGAGGTTAGGACTGCAGAATGTGTTATTAATAGCATGGAGATAGAAACAAGGACAGTGGGCCAATGGTAATCAAAGGGACAAACCTTTGGTCTTGGTGCCTTTATAAAAATGTGCACCACAGGCCTAGAACAGTAAATGCTTCACAGCAGAGAAGGCTGCACAAACCAAACACTGCTACCTATGATTTCGAGGATATAATATATTCCTAAAAAAAAATCTTTCACACAGCATTTCACTACAGCGCTGAGTATCACTTCCTACTCACTATTGCCCCAGGGCAGGACTAACTAAGCATCCCAGCAAGGTATTGCTCATCCTGAACTGACAGAATAGCACTAAGAAGCCACAAATAGAATGAATGCTCCATTTACTGCTGCAGTTAGGGCTATGAAAGGGGTATGTGGAGGCAGGGGACAGATATATACAAATATTAAAGCTTTTTTAAAAAATCACAGACAAGAGATTCTTTCACAGTTTGCTGCACCCATCATCAGTGATGAGATATTGATGTAGCATGACACAAATAAAGAAATACAACAATAATAATCTCTTCATCTTGTTCAGTTTTTCATGTTCCCCCTAAGTGTCATACCTTCTTGCGAGTATTAAGGTGGAATAAAGGAAGTAAATGACAGTTTCAGACGGAGTGTTTTTGATGAATACAAGCTGTTACAGTGGAGGTTTATTGTTTCATTTTTCTTAATACAGAACCCACTGCTGCTCCCATTGATGTCAAAGCTACGAGTTTGTCTGTATCAGAGATTCTTGTTGCGTGGAAACATATTAAAGAAAGTCTAGGAAGACCACAGGGATTCGAGGTATGAACACAGAATACCATAATGAGAAGTCTTGTTGCTTTTGTGAGTGTTGTGTTCTGTTAACATGTGCAGCAGTGAAACTTCAATAGGAATTATGCTCATTTTAGTGTACATACCACTAGCTGTGGAACAACAGTCACAGCTGTAGCACCGGAACATTTTTTTATTTATTTGTGCTTGAAAACAGTTCAGAACCAGTTCTTATAACATCTCTTTGTCACTTCAAAAAGACCTGAAAGACTTGCAAGTGACCCAGCATGCATCATTCACAGGCTGGGGAAAATTAGGTATTGACTGTTTCCAGCTCTAAGCGGCCAGTTCAAACTTGTTATTTACTGACAGCAATCAGCACAGAGAAAGGAGAAAGCCTCTGCATCCATGTGCTCCCATCCCACAGTGGCCGAGGGACATCTGCTGGGCAGACTGTAACAGGATGTCAGGAGGGAAGCAGCAGCTGCACAGTCCATAAATAAAACTCTACTTAGAGACAGCCCTTCCTGATTTGGGAGAGGGAACCGGACCTGGCAAGAGACCTCCTTGTACTTTTTGATACAGTTTGCAATCCAAACCTCCAGAACAGATCAAATCTAGCAGTACACCTGTCTATTCTTTTGGGCCACCACCACAACTCACACTGACCATGTGGATCAGGCTGTGCTGATCCTCACTAAATAGTCCAGCTAAAACAAATTAATTGGTTTTGGGATGCAGGTTATTTGTCTGCTTTAGACCTTTAGGCAGTGCTGACTCATTCCTGATTTTCTACAGTAACACTGAAAAGAGGGAAAACATTTAGGTCTGAGACAGATACCAATCATGTGGGTGTCAAAAGGTATCTTGTGATCTACTAGCATAGAGTCTCCCTGGCAGCATGTCTGGGCAGCCCCAGGGGCTGGTGACTGTCACTAGTAGCCTTAGGAAGGAAATGTAGGGGTCTGGGCAGCACCAGAGCCAACACCTTCTCCAGCTCAGCCTCAGGCTGGCCAGCCATGGCCGGGACAGTGCATTTGCCTCATAGCTCAGACACAGACAGCTGATATTTTTGTACCTGTTTCTGTAGCCTGATGATGTATTGGATAGCTGTGTGTCTATTAATATCTAGCACAGTCCAAATGGGCTGTGACTTTGGCATATCCCCTAGGTCTAGCCTTTGTTCAGGTCTTTTTCCCATCTACGTCTGCATGCTGAACTCTGCTAACCCTCTGTCAGTTTTCTTTCATTGTTCTTTTCTCCCACTTCTTCCTTACATTAAATATGTTTCTATTCCTTTGCCCATAACTTGCTTCATGCAGGAAAAGTCATATTTGACCATTTTACCTTTAAACCTGCTATTTCTAAAGAGAACAAAACTGTATCCAATAGAGATGATATTCATCTTGAAAATATTATTCCTCTCCATGTTGAAGTGTTCCACTTGTTACTAACCTGACTTCCATCTTGAGACCAGTCTTTTATCATCTGAAATAATTTACTTGCTGCACCTTGTCTTTTTTCTTTTCAGAAAGGTGGCTGGTTTGTTATTTTTTCTCAGATATCTTAACATCTTTTAAAATACACCTACTATTTTCACTCTTTTCCTCACTCCATCGATCAAAATGCATTACATATTTTAAAGCAGAAAATAGATTTTCTTTCTAAAATTGAAATTTATTTCCATAGAAACTCATCCCTTCATAATGTGAATGGATTTTGCATATACTTGGTTGCCACATAACACTTCCCTTAGCACTACAGGTGTGTCCTAGCAATAGATGGCTGCTACAGGTAGGACAGTGAGCTTGCTTTGTGTCAGAGGTTGTTTTCTGCACTTGAAAAGTGCTCTGACCTTTGGAGTTTGGCATACTCTGACCCAAACAGTAATACTTGTCAACTCTATGTCTCTCACAGATTTCTCAGGTACAAATCTGAAAATGCCCATTGATACAGAAGTTATTAACAGTGAAACTAATTAATAATTTGGCTCCTCACTCTGCTGTACACCAATTTTAGGATTATAGCATGAAGATTACAGAGTAAATATTTCAAGCCAAGGACCTGCAGTTGACATAACAAAAAAATGAAATATAAAAAAATATTCACTGCCCCCGTGTACCTCCTCCCATAAAGGAATTAGTGGAGCCTTCTAAGTACTAATACCTTTTAAGGTACTACTTTTATCTGGGGAGATGAGGGTGTTTTTTCCTCCCCACCCTACCTGCCCCCATCCTGCCTTTTCTGTCTTTATTCATTTAGCCATAATTCCTCTGCCCACTTTCTGATAGACAAATCTTTCATGGAATAGTTTGCTCTTCTCCACCTTCCCAGGTATGATTACAATCTGAGCAGCACTTACTCAGTAAACATAAAAGTAAATGTTGCTGTTCTGCAAAATTCAGCAGGAGAGAATAACTTCTAAGGATGGTATTGCTAAATCTTTCCAATTCCATTTTTGGGAAGGATTTCATCAAAAAGGAGATAATGATTTATAGGATCAGGGCAGTGAGTCCATCCATTATAATATTCCTTTAAGTACACTAAGTCCACACTATCAGCCCAATTTTCCTAAAATACTGACAGTTTGCCTTTAAAGCATCTCCACAGTGCAAAAGAAGTCCAGTCATTTTGATAAAAGGATTAATTATTTATATTTTTTCAGGTTTTTTTATTATTTCCTAATGCAGAATTATTGTGGGCCACAAGTAAAGAGTTGCCTTCAGTTCAATCTGAATGCAAACCATCTGACTAGCCACTCTGTTTTCATGTCTCAATTCATATTCTGGCTGTGATCACCATAGCAGTGACAACCTCCTACATAGTCTTCACATTTCTGGCCTTTTGCTGACAGCATTATAAAAGGGGCAGCTATTTCCTTAACACTTGAATATTTGGGCTTTAATCAACAAAAATGACAGAATATTACTAAATGTGGACAAGTTCACCATGACCCACTTTCACTCTGGCTCTGCTTGCACTTTGTACTAAGGAGTAATGAAAGGCAAAGGAACTTGTCCAATTTCACATTGTCATCCTTCAAAGGCAGTGTTAACTGTTATGTCACATGAATTTTATGCAAGGTTTGCTGCCCTCATTTGCATCTTCCAAAGCACATATTATTCCTGCCTTCAGTACAGGTTTGTCAGCTGTCCTCTCGACCTTACTAAATATATGCCAGCTACAGTCTGATAAAGTAGAAGTACCTCAAAAACTTTGTCAGAATTGTGGAAAAATATAGTGTGTTGTTCATACTTATTGTTTGCAATCTATAAGCTGAAGGTTATAAAATCTATTTGAGCCCAAGGCAATATTTTCTTTGCCATTCACTACTGGTAAGGAAGGAAAACAGAAAGAATTACTGACTGGAAGGAGATATTTTGAGCTTCTTTTTTCTTTTCCAGAAAGACAAGGCTAATATTTAAGTAGAAATGAAAAAGCTCATGTCTTTTCCTCTGGAATCCCTCTAAGGGATAGGAGTTTGGCTAGTATAATCAAAAGATCAACTTGAAGCAAACAAATACACAAAATCCAAAAATAACACTAAAATGAAAGATGAAAAAAAAATTTTTGAGTGCCATTTTCAGAGAGGATTACTTGACATAATAACTTAGTTTATTATATTATTTGTTTAATAAAACCATATTATGGCTTTTTGAAGATAATTACTCAATATTTTGCATTTTCTTCGCCTCTATTTATTTTTACAATGGAACAGATAATTATATCTGCATGGTACTGGATTTTTTTTCTTTGTATTTAGTGAAGTACACCTTGAGGTAATTTAGAAAGAGCATAGGGATGTTTTAACCACAACCTGGAAAAGCAAGACAGAAATTCTACTTAATTTAGGCTCTTACTTGATATGCTTGGTTTGTAGCTTTAATTTTCTGTGGTCAACAGAAACTCTGAATTTACTGCATTTAGTGAAGATGATCTGCAATTATATAAGATTTAGTTATGGCAAAGACTGCATAAACTAGAAACCAACTTAGGCAAAAGAGTAGTGTCATTTAAGATACTTTTTAACTTAAAACTTCAAAGAAGTTGTCTGTAACTATTAGGGGAACAAGAATTTTAGACAGTTTTTTTTTTAAGCAAGATTTGATTTTAGCTATGGCTTAACCCATGATCAGAGCAAAGCAGGTTGCTCCTCTCCAGCTCAAAGAAATGGGCCTCTGGAAATCAGGTATCAAAGTTTACTATTATTTGGCTAAAAACAACTGAAAGTCCAGAAAAAAACATAAAACCTCGAAAACAAGAATGCTTTAAATAGACAAAATGCTTTCTTCCCCCCTTTTTCTTTCAGTTTTCAAATATGGGCTACTTTTTTTGTGATTTATGCTTCACACTATTATCAATATTCAATGTTATCATTAGTGAAAACCTGTTCTGTGTTATAGATCTCTTCTGAGAAGTTTAAATTAAGATTAAGAAAAGTAAGATTTTTAAAAGGACCAGCAAATGCAGAGAAGTGTAAATAAAAAACCCCTCTATTTTAATATATCTGTCTTTCACTTTTAAACATCAGAAGTATCTTCATTTCAGTTCAAATCAATGTAAACCCCCACACCATCTACCTCAGTCAACATGTTTTATAACCACTTATTTTATTTCCTTTAGTCATCAAAGATGCATCTGGATGCATCTGTTACCATAAAAAAAAGTATAAAAAAAAAAGAGATCAAAGTTAATGCAGGAACATTTGATTAATATGGGACATGGTGTGCCCTGTGAATAAACAAAACTACTTGTAATTTTGTTTCTGGCTTTTTTAGAAAAAGGAGAAAAACTTCAGTTGCATTTCCACCCCTGCTTCTGTTCAACTGTGTAAGCTCAGACAACTCACTTTTCCTTTCTGACCCTTTCCTTGTTGGATCCTCAGCAAACTGCACTGTCTGGATAGTAGGGTCTCCAGGACACATTCCCTCTCACTGCCTGTTCATGCAGTGCTCAATATTGTGCACTTCTCACCACTGTAGCATCAAACTTGTAAAGATGCATCACAAGTAAATTGAAAGGAATCTGACTGCCCAAGAGATCATAAGCATTGGAGATTCAATAGTAAGATGTGAATAAATGGTTATTGATTCCTTTTTTCTTTTCAAGAAAAGAAAACTGACTCTGAATAGGTGTTATTTCAGGTATCAGTAGCTTTGGTCAAGTATTCATCCAGCAAAATACCTCAGTGAATCACACTTATTTCAGAACAAGTGGTGACTGCATCTAGATTTGTGAACTGAGCTGTAACTCATCTAAGAATTAAAGCAACAGCATTTTAACATGAGATAATGCAAGCACACACACAAAAGACAAATACTTTTACAGTTGAAAGAGTGGACTGTGAGCTGACACAAACTAATATACCCTCAATCAAAGTTTACAGTGACACTTTTCTCAAATGGAGTGATAGGGCCTCAAATGTATATTTTTGCAACCAGACTGTTTCAGATCTTTTTTTATGGCAGTCCTAGTGCAATTATAAAAGGTCAGCACTGTGCTCGTTGGTCTTATTTTCCTGTGAACCCCTTGGGGTTTTCTTGGTTCACCATTTCCTGGGAGACATTCTCAAGAGTTCTGTCTTGTCTGTGACCTTTTTTCTCAGAGGAAAAGTTATCCTGATACAGTGTAAATAACTTATTAGGAAATAACCAGCTTCACACAAAGGTCAAAATGTAGAAGAAATGCAAGTAGGTCTCGGCATGAATAACAGTAAGCAAAGTATAGGTCTTTGAATGGCGTCTTAGTGACATCTCCTGTTAGGCAAAATAAGGCCCCATGAGAATTGCCCTAGCTCACCTAGATACATTTTCTCCAATTATGCCCTGCAAATGCTGGGTTTCTGAGGACAGACTGGCCAAATTCTCAGCTCAGCTTTATAACGTCTTTGAGATTATAATAAATTTCAAGATACCAGAGAACAAGAATTAAGAACTACCAAAGATAATTTAGGGGTTCATTTTATGTCTGAAAAGGAAGAGCATAAACATACTATCAAAACTTCATTTACCAGAAACCTATTTATATCCAAGAATTAAATCTTTTTTCTTCTGTTAAAATTTTTCAGATGATTGAAATATTTCTGCCATTGTCCTGTCATTGCCTATTCATTGGACTGATAAAAAAATCTCCTGGATCCAAGTTGCACCAGGCCAGGAAGAGAATATGGCTCACAATACTTCTTAACTGATACAGGCTTTTCCAGGGTTAATCTACCAGAGGATGAGTTCTCCTTGAATGGTGTCCTTCAATGATGAGCTCTCCCTGGCAAACTTCAGCCTCTGCTCTTCTGTCTTATAGTAACCACCTCTTGTGCCAGCACACAGCTATTCCATGTGCTTTGGGTCACACCATGATATTCCAAGTCTTGCCATTTCAGAGAAGAGAGCACTGCATGACTTGAGGTCAAACTGCAAATCCCATATGTTTAAAGGGGTGTGATGATTGGAAAAAGGCATAAATGGCAAAAACATCTTCCACAAGATGACAAGCACAAGCATCTGGCAGCATGAGCTGCCTATATTAATCCTTCATTTGGTTGCTTGTTGGCAGGTTGGTTACTGGAAGGACATGCAGCAGGAAGAAGCAGCAGAAAAGGTCAAAACAGAGGGAAATGAGTCATCCATCCTCCTGACAGGGTTAGAAGGAAACACATTATATCACCTAACAGTGAGGGCATACAATGCTGCAGGGTATGGACCACCTAGCACTGCTGTGCATGCAGCAACCAAGAAATCCCGTAAGTAATCTCAGTACCTTTGCTAAAATGAAGAAATCGGGGACCGACCTCTGCCCCCTTGGGTTTTTATTAAGAGTGTATAATAATCAGGAATCATGTATAGCTTTGATTCATGGCTTTGCTTTGATGTTTAGATATAAATTCGTATGGCTTTTCATTCATAAAAAAGGCTAATTTCCTGGAAAACAAAAAACGGAGAGAAAAGAGTTCAAGTTCATAAGCTCTGTGGAATTTATGGGGTGGGCGGAATAAATACACTATAATCTACTAAATTACACTACTGATGAAAAAAAAATTATAAATGTTCCATCTAGAATTGGAAGTGTGGTAACATTACCAGTTTTAAATATAACAACAGATTCAAATATTTTCTTTTATTTTTAAAGAAACTACCTATAAAAACATGTACATGTTATTTTTTTCCTCTCAGCTCCCAGTCAAGCACCAGGCAATATTATGTGGATACAGGATGGCTCACATGTGTCTCTTGGGTGGGAGCCAGTCAGACCTCTAGCTAATGAATCTGATGTAATGGGATACAAGGTTAGTGCTTCCCCTTCCTTGCTCACCTTCTTTCTCTCTTCCAGGCAATTGCTCCTCTTCTTTGTTGGCTTTTTTCCTTTTCTTGTTCCTCTGTGCAAGTGAAGCATTCTATGCAGACTGTGTCTAATCAGCTTTCACTGTGAGAAGCAATAAATAAAATTAAAATGGGAGAAATGTCCCAACATATTTTTGTGTTGTGATTTTCAAATACTGAACTCTGTCTGACTCCCCTCTATCTGAGGGAGTCAGTCCATCATCTCTGAGTCAGCAGTGGCTGTTAATAATATCAGACTGCAATGAAATTCCTAAAAAGTCTTCAATTCAACTATGTTTGCAGTAGGATTTCGAGAAATGCATAATAATGAAATATCTTTAATTTACATTAAAATTAATATTTTTTGAAGCAGAAACACAAGTCCTTCGTCTGTTTTGTGATCATGTTAGTGATGTTCAACAGCAGTGATGGTAACATCTGGAATTTAAAGTTTGATGTTTTAAAGATTAAAATCCAGATTAACACTTAAATAACAAGTCATAAAAATCAGAATTCATTGCAATGCTTTAAATCAAAGTAGAATGATTTCAATTATTTTAGAGAAGTCTGGGTCTGGGGTTTTTTGAAGCCCATAACAAATCACTTCTATAGATTACAATCTTATATCTCCTCTGATATATCAGGAAATATGACCAAGAAAGTATAAAATGGTTCAAATAAACCAGAAACTGTTCTAACCTTTATCAGAATAGTTGATATTCTGAAATAATTGAGTCGACTTTTTTGGTTTTTCACACCTCTCTGACCTTTTCAATTTTCTCTGGGAACAGAAACTCTTATGCAGAAATACCAAAAAGACAGCTACGTGCTGACTTGCTTTCCTCCCACATGCCATAAATTTGTATTAAGTTTCACAGGAAATGCAGGGACAGATCTGAGCTGCTGTCAGTTGATTTAGTCAGCTAAGGTAAACACAGCAAATACATAATTTGGGCTATTTCCCTTACATTTGAAGTTGGGTTCTTGAGCCAAAAATATGAATATCAACATGAACTTTGGGATAAAAATTTGAACCAAAGGGAACTTGAAATACATTCTGAGATTTTGGAGATAAAGTTGTGCAACACCTAATGCTGGACAGGGCAAGGTCTCTGTCTTTTCTCTAGGTGATAATCTATGTCCTTTCACATTCATGAAGCTCTAAAATGTTTTGCTATTACTGTTTTGAAACCACTGGCGGAAGGGAAGAGTAAAAGCAGATACCTGTTCAAACGCAATGTGAAGAAATCCCTAATGAAAGTATGAAAGAGTTAACATTGCAGTGACTGTGTTATCTACATAAAATGTCTGGTACAGAGCTTGAATGACCACTGTGCCCACTGTCTACTTTATCCACCACAGGTGTTATTTCGGCAAGAGGGCCAGAGCAATAGCCAAGTTATAGAAACACAGAAAACCTCTGCAGTGGTACTTCTTCCTGATGTTGGGGTCTACATCATTGAGGTCTGTGCAGTCAGTGAAGGAGGAGATGGGACTGCAAGTCCCCAGATCAGAGTTCCATCTTTTTCAGGTAAGGTTACATTTCTATTTGAAAGCATGGTGATAATAGCAATGCTCATTAACTCTGTTATTCTCTACCAGAAAAACAATGTTGTCACAATTCTTTAGCTATTAAATAAAACCATTGATCTGAGTCTTTAGTTCTATGCTGAAACAAAGGTATCTAGTGACACATGAGATGTTTAAGATCATCTGAGGCAATCATGTGAGGTTGATGAACAAAGAAGATGATTTATAGGAAACCTCTCCCTTTTGAGGATATCTAAAAATCTACCTGAGTTATAGATGTTTATATGCGTGCTAGTGTCTCAAATAGCAATATAGTCACCTGGAATGCAATCCATACAGACCAGCTGTGGAGCCTTGACAGCAACTCAGTTAATCTTCTGAATTTTAGTATTAAGACATGAGCACCTAAGGATATCTGCAATGTCCTAAGGCATCCCAAACAGAGCTGGCAGATGTGATGTGGGACTTAGGGGATACACACATCATTCTGTACCACCAGCCAGAGGTGCACTACGTAACACAGCTAAAGTGTTTAAGTAGCTGACCCCTGTGTATGTGCCTGCTTGAGAATAAGCTGAATTTCTCTGTAAGTTCCAGTGACTCTCTTGCATAATTATTACTATTAAATTATTAACTTATCGCAGTATTAAGGTGTTATCATTAGGTAAATTATGATGTCTAGCTGCTCTTTCCTCAGTTACTATGATTTTAAGTATCAAGAATTTAAAGTATCAATATTACAAAGGTAAGTAAGGGATGGGAGGATTAGTGGCAAGAACAAAGGAATAACAATCTTTGCCTAAACATAACAAGGCATTTTAATTATAACATCTGATAACACTTTAAAGTTTTATTAAATATTGCTTTTTGGTCCTTAAGGAGCATTAACCAAAAGGTATGAGCCTGAAACTTCTATCTAGAACTGCAGCTTCAGCCCTAGTCTGGCCACAAACTGCAGTGCATCAGAATGCAGAAAACAGCAAATCCCTACTCCATGGAATATTTCTTTCATGTATCTTTCAAACCATAATTCTAGGCCACAAAGTCCTCCATCTGGTTAGACTATGCATATCGCATTAGTTCACTTAGGATCATTGTTGCCCAAAGAAACAGAGTCTGGTTCCCTTCTCATGTTGTTGCCACTACCACCCTAGAGCACAGTTCCCCTTAGCATGGCCTCTTAAGACATTGGTGTGATCAAAAATCAACACTGGACTAATGGGCCAAAGACCACGTTTTCCTCTGGACAAACATAAGGATCAAGGGCTGGCTTTCCTTCCTTGTTCTGGGACAAAGGTTTGTGACTCAGGGAAGCTTCTGCACCCTAACGTTATTTTGAAGATTAAGACATAAAACCATCTATCCTTTCGAAATTTCCAATTGTTTTGCAGACTGAATATGAGGATCCAGACTGTGAGTTGCTGTAGGTATCATAAAATCTCGTCTGTGTAGGGACCCCAGATAGTGACTGCAATTCTCACACAGTAATCCATTGCCTAAAAATTAGTCCTTTGCTGAGGGTAATAGAATATAAATTTATGCAAAAGCTAATGTCTAAATGTACTGAGAACCATTTGCATAATTTGTTTCTAAATTATTTTGCTTTTCGTTTCAGGAGGGAAAGTAACAAGTGCTCAGTCCACCTTACATGTGTTGTCTACTTCCTCATCCTCTGTAACACTGCTTTTGGCACTGATGGTACCTTCGACTTCATGGTGAAGGCTGCAGACTTTGTTGTTGTTGTTATTTGTTTGCTTTAACTTGATGACACCAAGGGATGGAGTTTTATGTCCGTGGAGAAACTGAAAACCCAAGCTAATGCTTAAAGACCCATCAAAATGCCTGTGGTGCACTTAGAGGAGTGTTGGAGACACGGTCAATAATGCATCAGGTTTTTATCTCTTCCTTATTTGTAAAAGTCTTCTGGGGAGGAGACCCTTCTTGGCCCAAAAGTATGCAGATTGTATGTAATAAACTTTTGTAAGCAAAGGTAATTTCTGTCCAATGTATTTTCCTTTTTTAATATGTTCAAATTTGGTGAACCCAGTCATGTATCATCAGGTGTTTAAAGGGTGGTGTCTAGTACAGTACACCTGTAGGGTTTGGAAAAAAAAATCCTTTTTTAAATATAGAACAAAGTTTGATACAGCTTTACTTTTGAATACTTTGCTTGCATCCCTTATAAACGGTTGCTCCTACTGACAAGGAAGAAAAACAGTTTATATAAAAATACCACTGCAAAAGTAAAGAATTTGTTCTGAAAATATATAATATGTATTCAATTGGGGGAAAGAATTGTCAATGAAATACTAGACAGATTATCCCAGAAAGCAGAAAAGTGGAGCAGAAAATCCATTTATTTTCTTTCCAAGTAAATGGAAGATTACTAAACACAAGCTTAGGAGGAAACCAGTTGGTTTTCATCAAATACCACAAGATTTCATGTCCAATGGAATTTTCAGTAGAAAATAAGAAATCAATTCCTACTGCATATGACAATGAAAATTCCACAGGGCATTCAAACATGATATGCATTAAACAACTAACTGGACTAATAAGGCAATGCAAGGAGATAAACCTACTTTTCCAACCACTTCTCAGTTGTGACTTCCTTTTTCCTCTGATCCAATTTTTGGTAACATTCTATGCTTTGTATAGGTGGTACTCAAGTTGAAGTATATATGAAGAGTACTATGGAGAGAATATTAACATTTTTCAGAATGGCATTATCCACATATCTACAGACTGAAGTAGGATATATTTTGGAGAATTTTGTTTCTGAGGAAAAAAAAATAGTTGGAAAAGTGCTACCAAGCATCATTCCAATAATTTATCTAATTGGCTCTATTTCTATAGCTCACTGGAGATTATTCCTGTAGGTACTATGTGCTATCAGTTTTAATCCCCATTTTTTGCTGTAGCAGACAATTTTTTACTCAACAGACAATTTGGACAATTTTTCTACATTGGAAGGCCTTCCCAAGCACTGGAACCTGAGGAAAAAGGACTCCCAGGGAAGATGGTGTGCATGTTTGTACAATCATGGTGTGCACAGTGTTATGAAGGGCAGCATTTTGCTAACACATCTGGAAAAACATAGCACTGCCTGGGAAGAATCAAGTCAAAAATGGTTAACATGAAAGTCCTAAGACCATGGTTCTTCTAGTTGTCTACCCCTCTAAAAGTTTTGATGAAAACCTATTTTAGCTGATGGGTCCCCAATTCAAAATGCTATTATTTTGCCAGTTCACTAGCAAAATAATTTTTGGCATTTAGATAATACACTGCAACTATGCTCTTTCTCAGCTGCTTCAAAACAGTAGCCAAGAAAGCACAACAAAGATAAGAAGGTGAAAAACGATGACAAAATATTTTTGATTTTGAATATTTTATCGGTAAAATTTTTCAGAGAAGGCTCAACTCAAACTTTATTACCCAGTAATATTTTAAATAATTTTCTGAAAAATGGTGTTTACTTCAGTCACCATGTTGCTCAGAAAACAAAGGCAGGATAGCTAGCTAAGAATTGACTGTAGATGTACAGAAAGAGGCCTTCTATATTTCTGCTTCTGGAAAAGCCTTTGAGATCAAAGACAGGAAGGTGTAATGTACCGTGCTAATAGAGCAAACTCATAGAAAATAATGACCTGCTGTCCCTTGTAAAACAGCAGCATTGCAACTGTGCAGAGAGCCTGCATCAGCAATCCATCATCTGCCAAAATGTTAAAATAAATAAGAAAAAAAGTGATGAACCAAAAAGTCAAATGGCTATTTTATAAATTAGTTATGCATAATTTCCTCTATTTTTTATACAGTTGCTTGCCAATGCAGTTTATTTCAGAGTATTCAAAAAGGCTACATTCACTGCTGGTGGCATTTGGTTAAACTTTCTGATAACAATAAATGGATATGCTTTATAGGAAGAATAAAAGTCTGATAAGGAGACAGAGAACCATCTAGACACATCTCCCTCTCTAGTATGAAGATACAAATAGAAATACTGAACATACCATCAGGTAATGTAGTTGTATTGCAGGGACAAAAGGAGGTATGTTTTATATTCAACATGAACAGAATATGTATTTTGCATCTTAAATATATTAATAAACATGTTTTAAATGTTTAAGTACTTCTGTATTACCTATTTGTTACTTTGTAGAAGATGTTTCCTTATCATGACATTTTTAGTTGCAAAGGAAAGCTTTTTCCTTTTTCATGTAAAAGATTGTAATAGTGCAGTCTGGCGTCACTGAGGAGGCTGTATTTTTGTATAATGTTACAGGATCTGTTCAGAAAAACTTAATTAGAAAGAAACTTTGTTTCACAGACCAAAAGAAAGTTACTGTCATGGCCCATATCAAAATGTTAGATATATTGTATACAATCTGTATATATGCTATATATAATGGTATATACAATGTGGAAGACACAGTAATATAATAGTTTCTGTGTACTGTTCTTGTAACATTAGATCTTTTTAATAAATTATTCTCTTTTTATTGACTTTTATCTTATCTCCTGTCATCTCCTCAGTTGCATTCATAGAGTTCAAGGTGACACAATTATTTGGTTTTCAGCAGCAAGAACATTTAGATTACATGATTTTCAAGAAGAAAGTGATGAATCTGTAATGGTGAACGTGGAAAATGCAGCCATTAAAATCAAGTAATTTTTGGCATCATTTTAATTTCACCTAAATTTTGGTTTTCCTAAGTAAATATATTTTTACAGCTAAATAAATAAAAGGTAAAAGAAGATCTGAATTCTAAAATGAAACTATACCTAATGAAAATTGCAACATAAATCTGCAATTTAGCAGAAAAAAAAATCACAGAGGAGAGATTTATATTAGATTTTAGGGAAATCTAATCATTCCTGGGAAAGTGGTTGGTGAGATTCTGGCACAGGTTTCCCACAGAAGCTTGGATGTGTCACCCCTGGAAGTGTTCAAGACCAGGTTGATGGGGCCTTAAGAAACCTGGGATAGTGGAAGATGTCCCTGCCCATGGCAGGGGGCTGGCTGGAACTCTAAGGTCCCTTCCAACTCAAACCATTCCATGATTTCCATGAAAAGAAGAGCTTCATGAGGAGGTCACCAAGGTCAATCCTCTATGCACTGAATTATTACACAGTTTCTGGGACCTCTCTGTACCATTCTGTCAAGTGTCATTCATACCCCATGTCTGTGGAGGCACAAAAGCACAGTGGGGTCATGTCATGTTCAATTTAAAAGCTTAGTTGCTTTGTCTTATACTTGAAATACTTTGTGTGACTAACCGCAACAGAATAACTTTCAAAAATACATATACTTTTTTGAGAAAAAAGTGGAACAATAGATAACCTAATTATAGCAAATATTATTCTTTTTGTTAGTTTTATCTGAGCTCTAATAATCCCCAATCAGTCCTTTATGAAATACATATTTATAGTAAATGACTTTGCAACACAGTACGAAGTCAAAAGGCCCATACTGAAAAAAAAAAATACATTGCCACAGTCATTTGAACTGAGATTTCAATTACAAAATGGGTATGGCTTAAATAGCATATTATATCAGGACTTCCATTAAATTAGTTATGAATGTCACAGAAAACTGTAATGTCCTGATTTTGCTGACATGGAGAATTATGCATATTAAAAATCCATATCCTATCAGAACTTCTACCAAACTGCAACCCACTCTTGCCCTGTTGGGGCCATCATCCCAGTTCCTCTGAAGATGAAAGACATTTTACTTCTTAATTACTTCCTATACTTTAAAAAAAAACAGTGTCAAGGATAAGAGAAAATGAGCAGCATTTTATTACGACAGGCTAGTTGGCTTTAGGCTATTACAAACAGCCTCACTAAGCATGCTGACAGACAGGCTGCTTCCAAAAAAAAAAGGTCTTGAGTTTGTTCTAAGACTTTTCTCTCAATTCCAGTAAAGAGAGACCTGACTTTGTCCTTATTGTGGTTCATATTTTTAGTACTTTAAACAAGATAATGATAGTGTATATAAATTAAAGCCTCAAAAGCTTAAAAGAGAAATCTATGGATAATTGTACAATTTCAATATTTACATTACTCCTTACAGCTGTCAGGTCAACTCTAAGGTTCACACAGATCAGCTGTTTGAGCAAACTGACAAAAATATTTAGATATGCAACTATTTGGGCTTCCTGTGCAACTTTTCTGCTGCCAGACTATTAACTAAGCACCCCAGTGTGTATAAGAAACCTCTGTCATCAGAGGAAACTGATAAAGAAGGGTGGGATGCTTTGGTGCATCTTTTATTAAGATGAAACATATGTGTCAGGCTAGAGGAAAATACCCTTCCTTTTAGTGTGGTTGGTGTTGGGGTTTTTTTCACTTTTATGCTCAAACTTATGAGTTCTAAAAAACTACAGAATAAAAGCATGAGAGTGCTCCTGAAAAATGCAGTTATCAAGATGAATAGCAAAGGCAGGCACCATATGTGTTAATCACAAATAAACTTATTCAGCATATTTTGCTTTTTATATAGAAAATATGATGGGAAAATATATTAATTTCCTTTCCATAACAGAAAACAAGTGAATAAAAAGATACTCAAAGCAATTAAGGCATATCTGTATCAAAGCCTTAGCAAGTACAATTTTACTTTAAGCTGCTTTGCTCTGCTCCCTGGCTGAACAAGCATTTCCATTTCATAATGACACCATCTCTTATCTTCTACAAAAGGGACTTTTTAAGACAGGGTAGTAAAACAGGATAGTTCTCCTGATATTTATTTAAAAACGTGTCATGTGGAGTGACTGAAGGACTTGGAAAAGAAACCCCAGGCCAATTGCTTACTTTTGTATAACTCATTCGCTTATTCTTGAGTAATATATACATCCAAATCTATCATTTTGGAGAGAGTCGTTCTAGATTATGATGTTTTATCTGTAGGTTTGTTCTAATTAACAAGTTTCACATGTACTTTAGGCAAAATAACTCAATATTTCTCCTGCTCTGACCAGCAGACTGCAGTGCATGGGCTGCCAGATGATCAGTAGAGGTAAGGCTCAAGCCTGGTATTAGTACTTGGACAAGACTCAAAAGCAATTTGTTGATTTTTTCTGGATATACTATCTTTATTTCAAGTCATACTGGTAAAAATCAAATTATCCACCGTGCACTGTGTCCCTTTTGCTCCAGTTACAGAAATGGAAAAGCAGTACTTCGCTCTGTCCTACAAATTTCTGAGCAGCGTCTCCTTCCTTTCCCTGCTCTGTTCTGTGACAAAATGAAAAAGGGAATGTGTGTGTATGGAGAGGGATGGCAGAGAGGAGAAAAAAAAAAAGAGGAGGAGGAAGTTCTCAGGCACTGTCTCCCACAAGGATAACATGAAATTAAACCTGCTTCTTGACCTAGCAGTGTTTGCCTCCCAACAAGCAATCTGAAATGGTCTTTTACCTTCCAAACAAGAGAGGAAGCATTTTTGCCCATCTGAGAATGGCTGCAGT